TCGCATTTAGAAAATTGAAAGGAGCATTATGTACGAGCCCAGTGTTGTCCTATCCTGATCACAAAGGCATGTTGATTTTGGACACAGATGCAAGTAATACCAGTGTTGGAGCTGTCCTTTCACAGCAGAACATTATCAAAGCCGGAACGAAATTATTGTGTCACCAGAAGAGAGTTGCTTGCCATAGTAAAAGCAGTCGACCATTTTCATAAGTATCTCTATGGACGCAAGTTTCTAATTCGAACAGATCACGCAGCTCTAAAATGGCTTTTAGAAATGAAAACTCCTGAAGGACAGCTTGCTAGATGGATTGAGAAATTGCAGCAATACGATTTCTAAATTAAACATCGACCTCTGGAAACCTGCATAAAAATGCTGACGCTCTGTCTAGACGGCCATGTAAAGAAGATTGCAAACATTGTAAAAGAATCGATATACATGAGATACTAGTCCAGCTGTAAGAAGAACGGGCCTGATCGTCGATGACAAATGGACTACCAAGCAAATGAGAGAAGATCAGGAGGCAGACCAGGACATCGGGCAAATTCTACATCTTAAAGAAAATGATGAATGTAGGCCAGAATGGGGGGAAGTGTCAAACAAAAGCTTGATTTACAAGGCGTTGTGGGCCCAGTGGAACTCTCTGGCCGTAGAAAATGGTTTGCTCAAAAGAGTTTGGGAAAGTGCCGATGGGAAATCCACTAAGCGCCAACTGGTTATCCCAAAAGACCGAGTGGAAGATGTATTAAAACACGACGGAACCTCAGGGGCACATTTCGGAGTTAACAAGACTTTGAACAAAATTCGGGAACGTTTTTACTGGGTTCACTAACATAAAGACGTTAAAAGCTGGTGCCGAAAATGCGACATCTGTGCTACCAGTAAAGGCCCTGAACTAAGATCTCGAGGCCCATGAAACAGTACAACGTTGGTCTTCCATTTGAGAGAATAGCGATAGATGTAGCAGGACCGTTCCCAGAGTCAGAGCGTGGTAACAAATACATCTTAGTTATCATGGATTACTTCAGTAAATGGCCAGAAGTTTTTGCTATTCCCAATCAAGAAGCCATCACTGTTGCCCAGGTGCTAGTGGACGAAGTTTTTAGTCGTCATGGTGTGCCACTAGAGTTACATTCAGACCAGGGACGAAACTTCGAATCTGACATCTTTAAGAAAGTTTGTGAGATCATGGGCATTCGTAAGACAAGGACAACACCTTTACACCCTCAATCTGATGGCATGGTGGAACGATTCAATAAGACCATAGAGGAACACCTGACAAAAGTGGTCGCAAAGAACCAACGAGATTGGGACAAGCATTTGCCTCTATTTTTAATGGCTTACAGAGCGGCTGTTCACGATTCAACAGGTGAAAGTCCGGCTAGAATTGTTTTTTGAAGGGAACTCAGGTTACCTTGCGATCTGATGTTTGGAGTACCCGAAGAAGAACGAAGAGAAATCCGAGATTATGCCGACGAAGTAAGGGCACGACTTCTGGGTATCCATGATTTTGCTCGGGAGCATATTCAACTAGCCAGTGACCGAATGAAGACCAGATACGACTTGAAAGCCAATTCGGTCGGATTTCAGGAAGGTGATTTAGTGTGGTTGTATAACCCAGCAAGGAAGAAAGGAGTATCGCCGAAATTGTCTTCAGCATGGGAAGGACCCTATAGAATAATCAAGAGGATCAATGATTTGGTTTATCGAGTCCAGCGCAACACCAGGAGTAAGATGAAAGTTGTACATCTGGACAGATTGGCGAAATATCATGGGCGTGAAGTTGATCGGGACGATCAACCTTAAGAGGAGGGCAGTGTTACGATATCGTCCGCCAGGCTGTCAGGAATCGATGGAAAAAATACTAGAATCTAGCGAATTATTCTACTTAAATCTAGAAAATTAGATTATCGTGTGTATTCTAGATTTTATAGGAATAGATTTAGGGATATATAAGAAGGCCGGCATTGATTTGTAAGTTAGTTTCAGTTCGACTGTGATACGATTTAAATAGTGATTGTAAAGAGTTTGATTGTTGAGTTAGTTATTAAAGTAATTAGTGTCGTAGTGTATTGTTAAGTGGAATAAATTATTGCTGTGTTAATTGGCGATCCAAAGCCGCGACAATATTTTTAGATAAATTCAACCTTGAACTAGAAAAAAGGTACTCTCATTTGATGTCGGAAACATGGTTTCGAGAAAAATCTGTTTTTGTGTAATAATGGTTTTTTAATAAATAATTTTTTATGTCGACTCAACATGCGATCCTTCTAATCTTATGCATTCCATACCTATTTTAATGAAAGATTTTTCGATTCTCGACAATGCGTCAATATTAGCCCTTATTTCGCGACAGTGAAAACTAATCCTTTCTACTAATATTTCCTCAGTGTCATTATTGCGTTAAAGCTAGTCCGTCCCTGGCAAAATAGATTGGTCAAGTGTGTTTGAGAAAGTCTATTTTGAGGGGTCTTATCTAGTATCCATCATATTGAAAAAAAAAATAATTATTGTACCTAGTAGTATATTGAAAGTTATCAACAAAAAACCGATTTTCAGAGGCGTCCTTTAGGGGCGAGTAACTTCGTAGGGGGGGCCGTAGGAATTGTTTTTTATAGAAAGGTCTCATGTTATTTTTTTATGTTCTATCTGAATCCGAGAGATTGCCACATATTCTGGCACACCCTGTATATCAAGTCTTGGGACAAGTGAACGCCGATCTGCTACTGAGATCTGCTTGAAACAAAAAAAGAAGTACAAATAAATACCCTATTAGTGGGCAAGTGTATTTGTATCTTTTTCTACTACTATGTAACAAACAATTATAAAAATATTTTGTTTTGCACTGGTTCTCTGAATAGCGGATCTACAAAATAAATAGAGCAAAACTAATAGAATAATGGCCGTTTCCACCAGCTATTTTAGAAGAGCCTTAACGATTAGTATTCCTCAAAATGACAGTCTTTCATGGAGAAATGTCAGTTTAAGAAATAGATATGAAATCCTGAAAAACAAAAACAAAAATAGTCTAACGTATAATAACTTGAACTAAAAATCACAGCAATTATAAGACGCCTTATATTTCTTCATTCTGTATTATTTTGATAGTTTGCATGTGAAAGAAAAACACATTTTGATTTGACCTATGACAGATGTTAAAATAGACGTAGCGCACAAGAACTATTGCCTGATGTCAGAGCGCCGCCTACGAGTTGAGTTAGGTCAGTATTATGACGAGTGATGTCGCGTTTTCGAGTGGCGAAGAACTGTCTAACTTACACTTCTCTCTCCGCACCTTGAATTGGAGGGTTGGTCAGCGTTACTTACTTGGCTGCCAACTTTATAAGCAAAATATAATTGTATATACATACATTTTTGTACTGTAGTAAAATTAAATTTTGTGTGGTACAGTTTGGAACAATGTACAATTCCTCATAAAATTTGTTAAATCAATCGACCACTCTAGGGCCAAAATTTCATGAAATTTTGATTGATTGTTTCTTATGAAAACGAAATTTATATTTTTTCACAAAAAATATTGAAGGTTAAGCTATAAAACCTCATATCATTGAAATCAGCTTTAAAAGAGCTATGCAATGAAAAAATAATATACGGGCTGACCCATTGCAAAAAACACAACTTTGGTTGGAAATGCAATATACGTGGTATGGGAAAAAATTTGTCATTGATCTGGGTTCTACTTGAAAAACTGCTTCCAGAAAGTATTTTTCGTTTTTGGAAAAAATTAAAACGCCATTTAAAATTGGACAAAATTTGAAAATTGCCCTGTATTTCCCAAACGCATCAAATTAGCCGTGATTTGTCTTCGCTATGTTATTTTCTGAAAAAAAAGAGCTCGAAAATGTGCTCCCAGATTTTACATATCTCTGCCGGTTTTCGATATAGCCCATTGAAACATCGAAAATAGGCCAACCTGTATATTCAAATGTGGCAAGATTAGTTTAAAGTAATTTTTGGAAATAAATATTTTTTATTTTAGCGTAATCTAAGATAATACCTACATTTATTAGTCTCGGCCAATTTAAGTTTGCACTTCTATCGTGTGGTCTTAAGCACACACCTTCTTTCTTTTGTGGCACCTCCAAAGTTATTTAAAATATTGCTTGATCAGATAGGAGTGAAATATCAAGAAAGCCGAGATGAGCATATATCTCGGGGTTGAAAGGGGGAAATTCAACCCCAAAACTTTGAAAAAACCTCTATGAAAAATTTTGTAGCAGCTCAAAATTTTTCGAAGAAGTTACCTAGTTCTGTTTGCAGTTTGGGGGTTGAATTTCCCCCCTTCAAACCTGAGATAAACGTGCTTTTCCGATATTTCACTCTCGCATCTGCTAAAGCAATATTTTGACTTACTTTAGAGTTGCTACAAAATTTTTCAAGGAAGTTTGTTTTTCTTACATTTTTGGGGTTGAACTTGTCCTCTTCAACCCCGATATAAATATAAGAAGAATTTTTTATATTTCAAATTGTCTAGCAATATTTCCACCAACTTTGGTGGTGCTATAAAATCTTCGATGTCTGATTGGCATTTACGTTTTTGGAGCGGAATCTCAATAATATTTCTAATTGCTCGACTGTAAAAACATTACTTTCATTTCTGGATATGTAGCTAACTTCAACGTCGTACGTCAACGTACGGCAACGTAAACATTTGGGCAATATGAGCAGGCAGGTAGAAAAATGCGACGCAAATATGTGTCGAATGTCGCAAATCATATTCAACACTTAACGCACTCAATTACTAATGTAGATGCGCCATTACGATGGAAGAAGAAAAGATGTGGTATTTATGGTTGCCTGGGTTCTTTGACTGAAAAATGATATGTTTGGAACGACCAATTGAATTGTTGGATTTGAATTTTTTTCATCCAAACAGTTACATTGTTCATAATTTAATTGGTCTAACTTAATGCTTACTAAGAAAATCACTAGGTAAATTAAAATAATTGTTTATATTATATTGATGAATATTTTTTCAGTACCTCCCGATATTCTTGATTATCCTACAAGTACGGATATGGTTATTGCTGAAGGACTTAATGTGACAATGCAATGTGCGGCCACCGGCTCTCCAATACCAACTATATCATGGCGAAGGGAGAATAGTGAACCTATTACATTGAGCAACGGCCAAGAAGGTAATAATTAGTGTCGATGTCGATGGTGAAAAGTGAATTACCAAAATTGAAGTGCCATTTAACTTAAATGCAATGCAATTCATCAAATTCAAACAAATTCAACTTTTTTCATTTCATGCATGCACCTTTTACCTCTTAACGGGTATTGAATTTAGAACCTATGAAATTTTCCCTAGCTATTCTTTACTACCCCACAAGCCATTTTTTTATTTGTTTTTCGATATCAACGAAACTTGGTAGGCTAGATATTCTAACAAAATGCCATTTTTGTGCATCCACGACAAGTTTTCCTGACTTCCGTTTTCACCGGAAATTACCGAAACTTTTGATTTTCAAATGGCGCACCCCGTATTTTTTTTTTGTTTTTTGGATTCTACAAATCGTTTTTCGTCCTAATGTACAGGGTGTTCTATTATAAATATCATCCCCTGCTAACTTTTCATTTGACGTTTTTGACAGAAGTGTCAAATACAAAAGTTTTAAGAAATTGTCAAAAGTTTTTAACTAAGTCAGTTTTAGGCATACAGGGTGCATAAAAAAGGTACAGCAGTGTGAAGTTCTATTTTTTCAAATGGAACACCCTGTATATTGAGCGCTTATTTGTTAGTCCCGTTTAACCTGATTTCAACGATATACGGTTTGATATGTTTATCTCTCGGTTTATCTCTCTCGCGAAAACCCCTTCCTAGGTCTCTTATGTTATTTTTTTTTTTTTAAATACTAATAATAACTTAGACATCTGGATTTATTATAATATTCCACCTTGTATAATAATGAATAAAATTTGAACAATAAACTGTTTATAAAAAAAATTTCTAAAGCCTAGATGGTATAATTTTTCTTTTTTCAATGTGAATCCTTCAAAGGGGTTTTCATGTTTTTCCCTTTAGCTATTGAAGATAGACATATCAAGTCGTATATCGTTGAAATCAGGTTAAAAGGGACTAACAAATAGGCGTACAATATACAGAGTGTTCCATTTAAAAAAATATAACTTCATACTGCTGCACTTTTTTGACGCACCCTGTATGCCTGAAATCAACTTAGTTAAAAACTTTCGACAATTTCTTGAAACTTTTTTATTTGACACTTTTGTCAAAAATGTCAGGTGGAAAAGTTAGAAGGGGGTGACATTTATAATAGATCACCCTGCACTACCTACTTTTGCATCGAGTTTTGTCCATTTTTTTTTTTTTTTTTTCAAATTAAACTTTAAGTAGAAAAATAAATACCTAATAAAACAAAAATGTTTGAACGAAAATTAAGAAAAATGTCGTAGTGTATTATATCGTTGGATTCGCTTTAAAATACTGCATTCAGTAATGCTATGACGGTGACTCCAGTTTTTGAGATAGTGCAAAAATACTAAAATAATAAAGTTTAGGCGCTCGGGCGCTTCGCACCCTTGTGCCGGAAATTTCTCTTCCCGCACTCGTTAGGAACTATATTTTTTCTACGAGCATACTAAAGCTGATGATACGAAGAGTTTCATTTAAATAAAATGCGATTCTGCAGAAGGTAGAACTCAAAATGTACCTATTAATAGTATATTACATACCGAGTAGGGAAGTGTTTCATTATTGTCGAGAGATTTATATAGTCAATCGAGACGCGAAGCGTCGAGATTCACTATTAATCTCGAGACAGAAATGAAAGCTTTCCTCCGAGGTTTGTATACTATTTTATTTGCAAGCACACCATTAATTATGATTAGTCAATCAATTTTTTTAATATTAAAAAAATAAAACAAACATGCCAAAATGTGTCATTCACTGCTTTGACGTTTTTTACCTGACATGTTCTCAATATTGCCAGCAAAGGTAAATAAATTAGAGTGAGGGAAATCGGTGAGGGAAGTCGAATAGGGAAATCGGTGAGGGAAATCGAAGAGGGAAGTGACACAGGTAAAGTGTCACTTCCAAATTTTTAAAAAATCAGTAATGACAAGATTACATATATGATTGCAAATAAAAGGTATTTATAAAAAGGTAAAGGTACAGGTATAGGTGTATCAACAATACAAACAATTCCATGTCACAATGATTATTTCAAACTCTTCCCGCACTGAGTGCGGGAAGAAATCTCTTCCCGCACCGGTGCAGGAAGAAAGTCTTCCCGCATAGCAAATCGTGCGGAAACAGCCATTTCCCGCACGCTCGTAGAAAAAATAATACATTTTTGGAAAAAGTATTTTTTATTTTTCTATCTATGAATAAGCATATAATTCAAAAAATACATGTCAGATTCTGAAGAGGAAATACAGAACCTCTTCACCCAATTTAACCTAACTCATTTATATAATCCAAGTATTAATAATTCGTTAAGAAATAATAATTATCAATCAAGAACCATGGCTGATAATTTGAAATCTATTGTACAATTATTTAAGCCTTTTGGTGGCGAAAACAATACTTAGAATATTTTATCAGTAATACCGAAGAATTTTATACTACATATTATACTGGCGAAAATGCACAGAAAGAATATGTTATAACAGCGATTATTTCATTCATTATAAAATAGACCCATCAGACAACGTCATTTTTTGAATGAATTTTGTTTAAATAGGTGATTATTTCACAAGATCTTGTTCATCAGCGATTAAATTTTTGTTTACCTTTTTTGACAGAATTTTGATAGAAATATTCTGACATTTTATAATAAATAGAACTCTTTGGATAGGATTGACGCCAACAATTCAATCCTAATTATTCAAGAAATAATCTAGCCGTATACAACTCGACCTATAAATTTAAATGGATTAAACTATCCAAATATTTTTTGCAAAATTTTGCTTTTTGACAAATAGTTTCATGCACAATAACTTTTAAATAAAAAAAAAATTAAAAATAAATAAAAATAACTTCTAAAAAAAAAAAAAATTATTAAGTTATTGTGCATTCAACTATTTTCCAAGCAAAATCATGCTCAAAATATGTTGGATAGTTTAATCGTATAAATTTAAAGCTCTTGTGATATAATATATGATTAAATCAAAATTAATCAATGAAGCAGGAAACTTCCTTATGTCACGTCCTGACTTATAATCATGGATTGATATAAAGAACGCTTTAAGATTAAAATATGGAGACCCATTTTCTAGACAAAACCTAGTATAAGAATTAATATATACTACCTACTCGAAATATTAAAGAGGATATTTTTGATTATTTAGAGAGACTAAAAAGTTTAAATCATAGAATAACTTCTGAGATAATGAGTGATCAAAATTTAGTTGCAGTCGCAAATGTTTTGGTAGACCAAAATGAAATAATGGCAATCCAAAATCTAGTCACAAACTCTCCTGTTGAATTAAGAACAATTTTAATGGTGCAAAATCCACTAACTTTAGATGCAGCTACAGGTTTTGTATTAAATAACCAATTAGCTGAAAACCATATGAAATATAATAATTCAATTATTAAAAATAATAATACACACACTTCATACACTAATTCAGAACAGAAAACACAATTCCCTCAAACACAATTTGTGCAAACACAGTTTACACAGAAACAATTTCCCTCACAACCTATAAACATTCAGCCAAAAGCGAATTATCAACAGAAATTACTAACTAGTTCACAAACTTTTGGAAAAAACTATAATAAACAATCCAATGTATCTAAGAAAAATACAAACCAACAATTTCCAAAACCGACACCAATGTCCGGAGTTTCAGTGCAACCTCGCACTCACGCATTTAAACAAAATTTCCAAAAAAGACCTGTTCAATACACAATTAAGGAAGAAAATAATATTTTACAATTAATTCCAGTTGAACAAGATTTTTCAGAAAACGATAATTTTGAAGAAAAAATTTACCTTTCCTCTGATGAAAATCAAGAAAATCAAAGTGAATTTGAATGTCAAGATTTTGAAAACCCTGATGAACAAGAAATTGATGAATCCGAAAGTTTTTGTTTAAAAGCCTCGGATCAGCAATAACTTCAAATGAATTCCAAATTAATCAATTACTTTTTATAGAAATTCAATTTCCACATCGTAAATTATTAATTGATACCGGAAGTCATGCCTCACTAATAAGACCTTCCATAGCTGAAAATAGTATTTTACATTATTAGCCAGGTAAAACAGTTTTTACTGGTGATTGAAGGAAATGACTAGCGAGCCGTCAGGCGAGCTTGTCACGTTTAAGGGCCGTATTTGTTACTCATTTGTAAACAATAAACAAAAAATTAATACATAGGTAATACATTTTTAATAAATAATTCTACTGACCCTACTGCCTTGTAAAAAGTTATTACAGTTGAGCTGTCAGTTTTACAAGTCAGTAGGGCCAGTAACTGGTAAAAATCAGTTTTCGTTGTTTATGTTTTGACTTGATAAATTGCGTTTTACAAATGAGTGACAAATAAATACTTTTATGTCCGATTGACCAATAAAGTGCTATTTATAGAACAGTTTTGCGTCAATAAAGTAGCACTTTATTGTACTAGTAAAATAAAGTGCTACTTTATTTTACTAGTAAAATAAAGTGCTATTTTATTGCCTACCTGGACTACCTGATAAGGTGAAACAGGTCCTGACAACCTGCCGAAGTGAAACAGGTCCTGACAACCTGCCAAGGTAAAACAGGTATACCTACACGAATTTTACTTTTTTCATTCAATTTTTTTAATTTTTAACAAAAACCAGTCAGAATCGTACATAAAATCATGTATATAACGCTTACATAAACAGGTAGTCCCCAGTACATCGACCTTAAAATTTTGTAACTCATGTACACGCCCAACTTCCTGAGCGGCTTCATAACACCAAGTCGGACAATATTTTTCATGTCTCCACCCTGGGCGATGGGACATTGCTGCGCTAGCTCTTCGTGAAGTTGTCGTTCTGACGTCCCTAAGGAAGTTGATACATGTACGTGTGGTTTCAATGCCAATCGACTGTTTTTTACATTACATTAACGATATCACATTTGTCGGACAAAAACCATGTGGCTTTGGGGAAGGTCCGACACCCTCAACATGTCGCTGTGGCGTCCCTG